TATATTAATGTAAAATACTTTACTACATTCAAATATTATCAACATAACAAAGAGTGAAAGGTTTCGTTTAAAAATAAAAGAGTCAATAAAATAAGTCAATAGAAATTTAAGTAAATAAATGAAGTAAATACAAAACTTTCAGGGTTTGCTGTGTATATTTGTGTTTGTGCTTATTTTATCCAGTGTTTATTAATCTTTTATTAATATTTTTTTTACAATAATGTAAATGCTGTGTGTGTGTGTAGTTCTGGACACGGCGGGGCAGGAGGAGTTCAGTGCGATGAGAGAGCAGTACATGAGGACAGGAGACGGCTTTCTCATCGTGTTTTCAGTCACTGATAAAGCCAGCTTTGAACACGTGGATCGTTTCCACCAGCTGATTCTGAGAGTGAAGGACCGGTATGAACACACGTTTGAGTTACAGATGGATTTTCAGTGGGATTTATTGAGTGTTTTTATTGTGGTGTGTTGCAGGGAGTCGTTTCCCATGGTTCTGGTGGCTAATAAAGTTGATCTGGTGCATTTACGCAAGATCACCAGTGAGCAGGGACGAGAGATGGCCTCCAAACACAGCGTGAGTCATTGAACACATTTAACCTGTGAAAGAAAATGACATTTTGATTTCTTGTTGACTTTTTCATTAGTTTTTCTAAATTGTTGTAAAATTATGTTGATATTATATTTTTATATTATTATTATTACATTGATTATAAATAATTATTCATTTTTATTTAATTTTAAATATGTAATTTTACATTTACATTTTTCCTTATTTTTTTCATAATAATGCAAACTAATGAATAAGTCACAATAAGACTAGCAGTGTTTATTAAGAAAGAGTACATTTTGATTTCATCTTGACTTTTTTGTTCATTTTTTCAGACTGATTATTTTTATACTTTTAATTATTATTTGTATTATTTTAATGTTTAATATTATTATTACTATTGCCATTGATCGGCCCATTTGTTGTTATGTACGCTTTTGTTTATTATTTAAAAAATTTTTTTTACAATAATGCAAACCAATAACTCGTTTACAATAAGACCAGCAATGTTATTATGTCAATTTTTATTTTATGTTGTCTTTTTAATTAATTTAATTTAATACATTTTTAATTGCTTTATTATTGTTATCATTATCATTATATTTTTAATTTTGTATTATTATTGTTGTTGTTGTTATTGATCCATTTGCTATCTAAACCTTTATTTAATATTTTAAAAAATTAACAAATATTTTGTACAATAATGCAAACCAATAAATAGTTTACAGTAAGACCAGCAATGTTATTATATCAATTTTGATTTCACGTTGGTTTTTAATTGTTCTGTATTATTATTTTTTAATATTATTAAATGAATAAAAAATAAAAAAAATGAACATTGACCGTAAATTTTTAATTGCTTTACTATTATTATCATATTTTAACTTTTTTATATTATTATTATTGCTGTTGTTGTTATTGATCCATTTGTTATTTAAATTTTGTTTAATTAAAAAAAAATTACTAATATTTTTTACAACAATGCAAACCAATAACTAGTTTATAAGACCAGCAATGTTATTATGTCAATTTTGATTTCATGTTGGCATTTTCATATTTTTATATTATTACGTCATTATTTTTTATTGTTTTATTATTATTATTATTATTATTATTATTATTGATCAATTGATTTGTTACTGTTTTACATACATTGTTAATGTTTTATATGTTATTATTATTATTACATTTTATTTTTGCATTTTAATGTTATTATTA